GTACAGGGTCCTGCAAGAAAAAGACAAGACCCGCAAATCCGTGGCCACAGAACAGCAGAATATGAACGCATGCGCAAAGTCTCTCTTTAAGCGTTTTCCTCCTGTAGAAAAACATAAACACTTAACATGGCGTAATGTATTAAGATGCTATTAAAATATCAGATTAAATATACAATTTATTAATATAATGAATATGTATATAGTATTTTCCTCCCATACCGCAAAACGTACGTGGCATAATGTGGCATAATGGACTAAAAAGGCCAAACTCAATATGCTCCTCTACATTATTAATATACATAACTAAGATGTACAGACAAGCAGGTGAGCCCAGAATAAACGCAACACGTACAGTTTCGCGTTAAGCGTATTTCCATATAGAATACATAGAATAAACCTCTTTTATATCATTGTCTTTGTCCATTAAGCTACATTACGTGTTTTATTTATAATGATTATAATGATTTGGAACATTTTTAACGTGCAATTTAATGCATTGCGTTCTGGGCTCGTCTTCTTGCCTGTACGGAGTTGATCCTTTTAAAATCACTTAATGCATTTCATAATGCACGTTAATATTTGCTCTTCTGTATATACTTTGAGTCAACAACAAGACATATAGGCTACTGAATTGTCTTTATCAACCGTTATTATGCCACATTAAGCGTTTTGCTGTATGGGAGGACAAGTGAAAGTTTGTGCATTGTGTTCGTGGCCATCTGCTTGCCTTGTAGTACATTAAATAATAACAATATATCGAATTTTATCTTTTAATTGCACTTAATGTATCTTAATACATTAAGCCATATTAAGTGTTTATGTTTTTCAACAGGAGGAAAACGCTTAACGAGAGACTTTGTGCATTGCGTTCATATTCTGCTGTTCTGTAGCCACGGATTTGCGGGTCTTGTCTTTTTCTTGCAGGACCCTGTACATTATAGTATAAAACTAGTTTTAATCGTTTAATCACCACCACAGCGTCTTGTCTCCATTGGCAACACGCACGATTTGTGTCGATTGCAAGTGACGTCGCAGGTAGCGGAGAGTGCAAGTGGCGATTGCAAGTGACATTGT